ATGTGAAATTTCCAAAACTTTATTTCGAGACATTGTTTTCAAATACATAAGAGCTTGCTTTCATATTACAATTACATTTTTTTTATTGTTAATCAGAAAGCTCCATTTTTATATATACAGTTTCAAATGTATCAATATTCATCAACAACTTTTTTTGATATTTTGCCAACTACAGTAGTTACTACTAGCAAAGATTTATCAATGACCTCAGACTTCACCTTTCAAAATGGTTTTTACCACTGTTGTCAGACTAGGTATCATAATTTTTGCTAACATTCTTGGTCATGATCAATTTATACCCATTAAATTCAGTAAAAAATAAGTTATTTTACATACATTCATTGCATGAATGCAATACAATTATAAATAGTACTCAATAAATATGATTTTGAGTCATCAGAATATATTAGTTTCTACTGTAACCACTAAACATAAAGATTATCTGATGTCTCGTTATAGAAAATTTTTGTACTGAATATAGGTTCCTGGAGGAAATGCTGGGGCCCCTGGGTTTTGTTTTACTAAAATCCAATTTCTAATTTTTTGGTGAGTTGGTCAAAGCTAATTATTAATAAAGCTGAGCCTTGAAAATAGCTATATTAAATGGTGAAATGTGATTTGTAGGGTAGATTATAAACTGTTTGTCAAAGCGAGGAATGTGGTATGAAGAGTAATTTATGGTTTCTGGAGGTGTTGACCACCTGTAGCTCCTTTATAGATGAACAAAGAAATCTAATGGGAAGTTCACGACACTTAGACACAAACCAAAGACTTGAAAATTTTAGTTTCTTCGGGCTTTAGTCCATTTCTAAATATTTGTTTTGTTAAATTTTATGTGTTTAACTCCGAACTCCCCCCTTTCAGAGGGGATCAGTTCAGAGCAACAACGGAGTGCTTTGGAATGGATGGTTTACATTTAAATAAAATAGGGGCTGGCTTGTTTGCTGTGGCTATTAAATTAGCTGTAAGGGAAGTTTTAAACTAGAACTAGACAGTGATGAAGATCAGGATAAACTAACTGCAAAAAAGAATAAGAGGCAGAAAAAAGTTTTGCAAGGGAAAAGAGTATAGAAGTTGTTATAAGGATAGGCTTAATTGTTACTATTGTAATGCTAGAAGTATAAGAAATAAAACAGATGAACTAAGGGCACTGGTAGGAATGGAGGACTTTGATATAAATGATACTGATGAAATTGATGAGAAATTTTACAATGAAATTAAAAATTCAGCTGTTAATGAAGTCATAATTATGGTTGATTTTAATATCAGGCATATAGATTGGGAAATGCTAAAGTTAAACCATGAAGGAGAAAGGTTTTTGGAAACCTTTCAAATGGCTTTCTTCACCAATTACTCAAGAAATCTATTAGAATTAATGTTGTTTTAGATCTATTGTTAACTTCAAATATAGAAATGATCGAGAACGTGGAAACTGGGAAACATCTGGGTGCAAGTGATCATTACTCTATTAGGTTCAATGTTCTGCAGCATGTGGTGATAATAAATAATGATATTTTGGTTTAAAATTTCAAAAAAGCAAATTTTGATGGGATGCAACAAGAATTATCTGTTGTGAATTGGGGAAACACTGATCAGATGTGGAAAAGTTTTTAACTATTCAACGTAAACATATGTAGAAATATTATCTGGCTAGGATTTTTTTTTATAACAAGCTTATAATTAATGCAATTACTTTGTTCAATCTTATTTCTGTCTACTTAAATATTCATTAGTTAAAACTGAATAAAAGCAAAATATAATAACCCACCCATCTCATAACCATCAGATACCCCCATCCTAACATTTTGTCTACCCTTAATGTTTTTAAAGAAATCCTTACTGTTAATGTTTACATTTTCAGCCAATGTTTTTTGATGTCCCAATTTTCTGTTTCACCAACTTCCTTGATCTTCTATAAACTTCTAAATCTCCTGTCATAACAGTCAATATATACTTCTTAAAGTTGTGCTGCTTTTCTTCAATTTTATCTCTTGTACCCTTTGTGAGCCAACCTGGTTTTTTTTACTTTCAGCCACCCTTCTTTCTATAAGGAATAAAAGCTTAAAATCTGTATGGATGATACCCTTGGGTAGCTCTTGCGTTTTTAGTCCTTACTGCAGAAGCACCAATTACAGCAAAAAGTTTGTCACATTCTCCTTAGAAGTTACTTGTCATTCCTGCAACAAAACCTGGAAAAAATAAAATAAAAAGTGATTGACATATACTTGAGATTACAAAAACTAGAAACATTTGATTCAATTATATAGATGAATTCTGCAGAACAAGATTACCTAAAATTATGCTGTTAGAAACTGCAACTGTAAACATTAATTAAAAATCACTTTAATTTGTCAACAGAGCTCTCCAAATTAAATCCTTAAAACAAAATTTTAAAAATTAAAATTGAAGTACTTCATTCTTTATGTCATCCTTCAATATCAATCTATTATTTTACATGTATTTTCCTTGTGAATGGTACATTCATTGCTTTTCCCACGATCTGGAACTTTTACTTAGTTCAGGTTTAACTGGATGTCTACAGCCTAAAATTGATTTAAAAAACAACTTGTAATTTCAAAGAACTTTAATTTTAGGAGTTTTTTGGTTAAAATATTTTAAAGTAGTTGTGTATTTAGTGATGTTGATGTGACTTTGTGAGTAAAGCAGTGTTGTTTTAATTAAGTTTAAACATTCCCCATAAGCTTACATATATTCCTGATACTATGGTACTTTGAATATATAATAACTAGCAGTGGTACCTGATGATGCAGATCGTAAGAAGTGTTAAAGTGTACGTTTTGTT